CTGACAGCAGAAGAAATGTTCTGGGGTGGTTTTTATGCGGCATGTTGGCATTTTTAGAGCAATGATGCTGAGTCAGCGCAATGTGGAAGAGTTTAACTTACCCATGTGGGGTGACAGTCTTATCCCTTAGCCTCCCCCTTCCTCCAGCGCTTTCAAACTGCTCTTTCTCCTCTGCCATCTTAGAAAATACACCTTGAGGTAACAGCTGGGTTGTAGTGGTTGCTCTTGTCATGCCGTACTTGTGCGACATGAGATTATCACCTCTTTCTCAGGCTATGCTCTTGCAGGTGTGTTTCAGAAACTCCTCTTGGTGCCTGGTCTCTAACCCAGCTGGGTCAGGCAGCAGTGTCTCTGCACACACACACTCATAGAATCATAGAATTGTCGAGGTTGGAAGGGACCTTTAAGATGATCTAGTCCAATCATCAACCTAACTCTGATAAAACTCATCACTAAACCATGTCCCCAGCACCATGTCAACCTGTCTTTCGAATACCTCCAGGGATGGTGCCTCAACAACTTCCCTGGGCAGCCCATTCCTTAATAACGCTTTCCATGTGAAAATTTTTCCTAATATCCAGCCTGAACCTCTCCTGGTGCAACTTGAGGCCGTTTCCTCTTGTCCCATCACCTGTTCCTTGGGAGAAGAGACCGACCCCCCCTGGCTACACCCTCCTTTCAGGGAGTTGGAGAGAGCGAGAAGGTCTCCCCTCAGCCTCCTTGTCTCCAGGTTGAACACCCCCAGCTCCCTCAGCCTCTCCTCACAAGACTTGTGCTCCAGACCCCCCACCAGCTTTGTTGCCCTTCAGTCCTGCAGCTACTGCTGCAAGTGTAACCAGGCTGAACCAGCTCGCTTTGGTTTCACACTGAAAATGTCAATATTTGCTGAGAGGTACTTGGGAAGTCAGCTCCTTTTGCTTTCAACTCATGGCTGAGGCATAGGACCTGCTGGCAGCACCTGCCGAAGGGCTCTGCGTGTAGTGATGTTAAAATGGAAAAAAAAAAAAAGCTCTTTTGGCAGTCGTGGCACAACTCTGCCACCAAGGGACCCCTCATCCAACCACATGGACAGAAAAGTCAATCCTAAATATCTGGAGCTTGGCTGGGGGTCCCTGGGATGATGGTGAAGAACAAGGACTAAGAGCTAGGCTTTTGCAAGCTGAATCTTGCCAGCTTTCTACTTTTTACATACACTCACCTCTTCTTACCTTTGTTTCAGAAACTGTTTGGAACAAAAGGCATCGAGAAAGATAGGTTCAAGCTGTTTGAGTCTAATACCAAGGACCTTCTGTTTAAAGACTTGACCAAGTGTCTGGTCAAACTCCGTGAAGGAATAACGTACAAGGAATTCCTTGGAGATCAATACTACGCTTCAGTTGCGAGCCTCAACACCTGCAATCCATCAGGTAACCGTCACGGCCCCGGGGAAGAAGTTGCAGTTCTTAGCCTCGCAGGCATGGACAGTTTCTTTTGTAGATGTCCATTTAATTTTTTAAAGCAAAATGAGGATAACTCACGAAAGATGTCAGTATACTTCTCTCGAAGTTCCTTGGATGAACTGAAAACAGTCTTGAAGGCTGCTGCTCTCACGTCAAAGGGAAACAAAGATTTTTACTTGCCTCTAGAGAGCATGCATTTTAAGAAACAGTGAAAAGAACCCACCCTGTCCTATCAGGGTGTGTGCAATCTGAGGTTAATATACGTGTTTTTGTGACACACTGAATGTATTTTCCACGTGATCACGCTGTTGGCACAGGTGGGACAGGACTGTTTAAAGGCAAGAGGTGAACTTCTCCCTGTCCTTTCCCTTTTCAGATCTCCTCCAGGTGTGCACCTTTCTTGAGGAAAAGTAGCGAGATGGGAAAGACCCTCGCTGGAAGGGGAGGGAACTTCAAGCCATGACTCCTCTTGTGCCCTCCGCACGGAACACCGACCCGCAGAGGGCCCTCTGCCTTCACTGCTTTCTCTACCCTTCCTCATCACTCTGAAAGTGGCTGTTTGAGACTTTACCATTCTCTGCTGCCATCACAGCAAGAAATAAAATCTCAAATCTAAATGGGTGTCCTGAGATCTTTCAGAACAGTCCTTAAACCCATTCCTTCCTCAGTACCTCTCGCTGTAGGATAGTGCCAGATACCAACCTGGCTATTGCTTTTTAAGGGCCATTAGAGAGATTTGTTTCAACATTTGCCAAAGCAAAATGGATTAAATATGCCCTAGAGCCTAATTAATAGGTGTTTGGGACTCTCTGTGCTTTTGCTTCACACAGGTTTTTTCCCCTCAGCAGATGGCAGTTGCCCAGTGTGGTTGGGACACAGAGAGTGGGAGAGTGTTTATGTCAGGGAAGCTGAAGGGTGGAGAAGGGAAAAAACCAAACCAAACCAAACAAGTACAGTGGTTGTGAGATGGAAGATGTGACTCCACACACCCCAGCAATGTGCTCTGGCATCCCAGAAAGCCCCCCACACCCTGGGCTGCATCCCCAGCCCCGTGGCCAGCAGGGCCAGGGGGGGATTCTGCCCCTCTGCTCCGCTCTGGGGAGACACCCCGCACCCAGTGCTGCCTCCAGCTCTGGGGCCACCAACAGCAGAAGGACATGGAGCTGTTGGAGTGGGGCCAGAGGAGGCCCCGGAGATGCTGGGAGGGCTGGAGCCCCTCTGCTGGGAGGGGGGGCTGAGAGAGTTGGGGGGTTCAGCCTGGAGAAGAGAAGGCTCTGGGGAGACCTTGGAGCCCCTTCCAGTCCCTAAAGGGGCTCCAGGAGAGATGGGGAGGGACTCTGCGTCAGGGAGGGGAGTCATGGGAGGAGGAGGAAGGGTTTGACACTTAGAGGGGAGATGGAGTTGAGATGTGGCTTTGGTGTGAGGGTGGTGCCCAGTGATGTTGTGGCTGCCCCATCCCTGGAGGGGTTCAAGGCCAGGTTGGATGGGGCTTGGAGCAACCTGGGCTGGTGGGAGGTGTCCCTGCCCAGGGCAGGGGGTGGCACTGGGTGGGCTTTAAGGACCCTTCTAATAGATTCTATGATTCTATAATTGAAATTACACCATCTCATATCTCATCTGGCTGGATCTGAGTAATTTCCACCAGGCAGTATTCTTAAAACACGTAAGTATATTGACAGGGAAAGTCCCGGCTTAGACTTCCTTCCTGAAAAAAACTTACTTAGAAACATGTATGTTTTGGTAGTCTGTCGATGTGCTGCTGACCTGAAAACAAACATGTAGGTGAGCAGCCTGACTCTGACCCACGGTGAAAATAAAAAAGTGAGACAAAAAGGCCTGCTGAAGCTCTCTGTGTCAGAGGAATGGAGTCTGGGGTAATGCAGCAGGTCCCGACCCTCTTGTTGTGGCAGGCAGGGAAGAGCTGATGGGGGCAGAAAGATGCTAAGAGCTTCTGGCTTTGAGGGAAAGAATATTTTGCTGGGCTCACTGATGACTTTTGGATGCTTATGGTATATGCCATGAGAAGACTGAAGCCTGACTGAAGATAACCTTGGAAGACAGAAATGTAGAGTGTGATGGGAAGCAATGACATTGTGTTCCTCACATTTATGTAGGATGAAGTATGCTAGACAGGTGGCTTTTTTAACCTGCTCTTGAAGACTAGATACAGTGCCTCTAAGGCTACAACCAGCTATGGCTACAGTTAAGAAATTTTCCCTGAGAGCAGCTGCATCACCTGCACTCAATATCAAGTGTAACCCCTTGTCCTATAAGTAGAAGACATGGAAAGCAGGAACCTCACTTGAGGATCACAGAGTAACTTCAGTGGGAAGGGATCTCCGGGGGTCTCCAGTCCAACCTCCTGCCTCAAAGAAAGTGAATGACCAGATTGCTCAGGGCTTGTCCTAGTCAGTTAACTCCACAACCTTTTTGGTCAACCTGTCCTACTGCTTGACAGCCCTCAAGGGGAAGAAGTTTCTCTCCTACCCACTCTGAACCTCTCTTATTCCACTGTGTTCCCATTGCTCTTCTCCTGCACCACCATGAAAAGCCTGGCTCTCTCTTTCCTCATGCCTGGTACAAATGTGGCCATCTCTTCTCCAGCTTCAACAAGTCCGGATGCCTCAGCCTCACCCCACAGGGCACCTCTCCAGTCCCCTGACCACCCTGGTGGATCTCTCCTGACCTTGCTATCATTCATGGATGTCTTGCTTGAACCAGGGCAGAGGTTCCAAAACCAAAGGCATGTGGCCAAACATCTCATGAAGTTTGAGTCTCAAACCAAGGACCTTGTGCTGAGCCGAGGGGCGTGATTGGTCTCTTCTCCAAAGGAAGAGGCAATAGGACAAGACGAAACGGCCTCAAGTTGCTCTGGGGGAAGGTTTATGATGGAAATTGGGAAAAATTTCTTCACAGTAATGGGTTGTCAAGCATTAATTGTCAAGGGTTGCCCGGGTGGTGTGGTTTTGGCCGGGCTGGCCACTGAAACAAATGACAGAGTCCTCCTCGGATGCCGGCCACTGAAGAAGAACTGACCCTTTGATCCCTCAGCTTTTATACTCAGCATGATGCAGACGGGATGGAACACCCCTCTGGTCAGTGCTGGGTCCCCTGTCATCGCCCCTCCCCACAGCTGCCACCCCTCGACGCTTTTCCGCTTCCCACCCTCCGACAGGCACATCCCAAGGGGAGCTGGCCTTGGCTGCTACAGCAGTAGGGACAAGCAGGAGCCTCTGCTCATCATTCCTGGGTGTTCCACTGGAAACATCGGTCTTATCTCTCTGGGAGTGAACAGCGTCTGGACAACAAGCTGCTAATTTGAGAGAATTCAGTTGGTTAGAAGAGGCTTAGCTGCAGCACTCTGCAAATTACTGAACAGAAAACCGGCTCTGTTTCACCTCAAACCCTTCCCCTCGGCAGCCGCCGCCATCTCCCTTTTCCCCTCAGGGACGACAACTCCCATCACCCCCCGCGCCCCGCCTCCCGGCACCCCTTGCGCCCTCCCCCGCCCGCCAATCCCGGCAGGCCGCGGGGCCGGAAGCGGAAGTGGGGGTGAGTAGGGCGACGTGTGCGGGCGGGCAGCATGGCGGGGACGCTGGAGCCGCACCTGGAGGCGCTGCGGCGGGAGCTGCCGGCGCCTGGCCCCGCCGTGCTCTCTGTCCTGCTGGCGCTCCTCGCCGTCGCCATCACCTTCCGTGAGTTGCGGCCCGCGGGGAACCCCCTCTCCCCGGTCGCTCCCCGGGGGCCCGGCGGGGAGCAGCGGCCTCCGGGCCGCTGAGGGGGCGGCGGTGGCGGCGGCGGGCTGAGGCGCTCCCCCCTCTCTCCCGCAGTGATCTGGAGGTTCGTGCAAGGCAGGAGGAGCAGCCGGAAGGCGGTGCTGCTGCTGGGCCTCTGCGACGCGGGGAAGACGCTGCTGTTCGCGCGGGTGAGCGGGGAGCCGGCGGCTCCTGAGGTGGGGAAGGCCATGGCGGTGCGCCTCCTCCTCCTCCTCAACACGGCGGCTTTTTCCCCCGCAGCTGTTGACAGGAAGGTACCGCGATACCCAGACTTCGATAACCGACAGTTCTGCAGTTTACAGAGTCAGCAACGACAAGGTGAGCGGGCAGGGTTTTGGCTGTGGCTCGTGCCTGGTTGCCACTGCCAGCTGGTGCCTTTAATTTTCTGCTCCTTGTGCTAAACCTGGCGTGATGGTTTGTGTGCTGCTCGGTCTTCCCTGCTTGAAATCAGTCCCCGGTTTGATTCAAGTGTAGGACAGGATTTTTCTAGGCAGTGCACGCTGAGAAAGCAGGAAAATACTGGGAGGTATTAGGGACTCCTTGTCTCTGCAAGTTCTTTTTTCTTTGCTTGTCAAACTGTAAAACCTTTTTGGTGAAAGCTATGTCTGTGTATCGCATTTTGAAAGGCGAGCAGCGTGTGGTATTTTCTAGAGAAGAGGAAAAGGAGCTGCTTTTATAAGTAGAGTAAAGCAGATAGCACTGTGGGCTTGGCGATGTGGTTCGGAGCAGGAGGGAGATTTGTGAGGGTACGTTGTTCTGTTGTGATTGGTTTATTTGCTTGGCAGTAATTTCTCTATCTCCCAAGAAAACCTGGTTTTAAAAGCTTTAGCAGGTTTAAAAAGAGTCTCCAGCTGAACTTCATATAGTCTCAAAAAGGGTTTTGGTTACTTTCAGGTCCTGGGCTGCCACAGATCTGGTTATTTTCAGCTTATGCTGATCTCTTTGGTTTTAGAAGAGTTTCTTTCTCTTGCTGGGTGCAGATGTGGTGGTGAAAGCAGCAAGCTGGCAGCATCGTCTGTGCTGGCGAATTGTAAAAGTAGAGGATGTTTTTGTGGCTCCTCTACGGCAATCTTTAGTAACAGCAGTGATAATAAGAGGTTAAAAACTTGGTAAAGGGAAATGCAGGGCCTTTTTTTTTTTAATTGTATTTGTGTCTCTAAGATTGAGCAGGCAGGAGGTATTTGGAATGCTGCAGTGCGGACTGTCTCTTTTCTTTTTTTAAAATGTAGAGAAGGACCCCATTAAAACCCAAGAGCAGACAGTGGATAGGGTCTGCTGTAGTGTTCTCTCCCCTCTTGAGAGCAGCGGGCGTTACCTTGAGAACGGTGACGTGGCTCTACTGAAAGCCCGTGGAAATGGAAACGTTGGTAGCTTTCAATTAAAAAAGTCTCTGGCAAGGACATTTTTGTGTTATTTCCAGCAAAGTTATGTGTATTTAGGTAGGCTCGGTACCTGAATAGATCTCTTGATGCAGAGATTGTGGGATTAATATTCTGTATCAGGGGATATTCTGTATGCAGGGCAGGAGTTTGTGGTTTGATCTACTTGCCGTCAGGGATGGTGAACATCTGATGAAGCTTGGTCACTCGCAGGGTGCGTGGGGTAGTTCTAGTTCTGTGCACGAGAAGTGGGTTGAACATTTCACTGAATTTCACTGAATTTCTAGAGTTGGAAGGGACCATAGAGATCATCTAGTCCAACTCCCCTGCTGAAGCAGGATTGCCCAGAGCTAGAGCATGTTACTCAGGACTGCATCCAGGTGGGTTTTGAAAATCTCCAAAGAAGGGGACTCCACACCCTCCCTGGGCAGCCTGTTCCAGGGCTCTGCCACCCTCACCGTGAAGAAGTTTCTCCTCATATTTGAGTGGAACCTCTTCTGTTCCAACTTGTGCCCGTTGCCCCTCGTCCTCTCGGTGGGAACCACTGAAAAGAGTCTGGCTCCCTCCTCCTTCAACCCTCCCTTGAGATACTTGTAGGCGTTGATAAGGTCTCCCCTCAGCCTTCTCTTCTCCAGACTAAAGAGTCCCAGCTCTCTCAGTCTCTCCTCATAAGGGAGATGCTCCAATCCTTGAATCATCTTTGTGGCCTTACGCTGGACTCTTTCCAGTAGTTCCCTGTCCCTCTTGAACTGGGGAGCCCAGAACTGGACACAGTATTCCAGTTGTGGCCTCACCAGTGCAGAGCAGAGGGGGAGAATGACTTCCCTTGACCTGCTGGCTACACTCTTCCCTATGCAACCCAAGATACCATTGGCCTTCCTGGCCGCAAGAGCACACTGTTTACTCATTGTCATTTTACTGTCCACCAGGACCCCTAGATCTTTCTCTTCAGTAGTTGCCTCTAGCAGGTCCACCCCTAACCTGTACTGGTACCTGACATTTTTCTTCCCCAGGTGCAGGACCCTACACTTTTCCCTGTTGAACCTCATGAGGTTCTTCTTTGCCCAGCCCTCCAGCCCAACATTCTCTCTGTGGTCGTGCTCTCTCCTCTCAGCTCTGGTGGGTGGTTTGCTGGTGTTGGCACCCTGCTTACTGAGCCCTGGCTGTTGTTCCTCAATGTTTCTTTTGCCTGTTGGAATCGTTCGGGCTGGTGGAGAGACTGCAGAGGGGGAGAGTTACGTGGTTCTGCCTGATGTGGGGATTCACTCACCCACTGCTGTCCCAACACCAGGCGAACTGGAATCCACTTTCAGACTGGCTTTCCCCGCTCTGTGATCACAGGTACCCCATGACTAGTTGTTGCTGATCCCTTCTTGCTTCTGTTCCCAGAGCGCTAACGTCACCTTAATCGACCTCCCGGGCCATGAGAGTTTGCGGCTTCAGTTCTTGGAGAGGTTCAAGGCTGCAGCCAGGTAACGTGGAGGAGATTGGCAGGGGAGGAGGGGGCAGGTGATGTTCTAGACAGGGATGAACCAAATGGTGGTTCTGAGGGTGCTGTGAGGCTCGTGGGTGCCCTGAGAGTCTGAGCACTGCCGTGGAGCAGCAGGGGTTAGTTTTCCACTTACCTGTGTTTGTAGTGTATCAGGAGGCAAAGCAACTGCAGCGGGGAGGGTTAGGGGATGCCATATATCTGTGGGCCAGAGGGGGAGAGATTTCCTGCTGGGGCTGGATGTGGGGTGCATTTCAGCCAGCACGTGCTGACCTGCTCTTGGGTTTGGACGAGATCAATTGTGGAAACAAATTGGTTAATCCAGGCTGGAGCGCTTGCAGGGGAAGATAATGGCAGAGCTTTGCCCAGCACATATTCTTCCCTCTTTCCTCCAGAGCCATCGTGTTTGTGGTGGACAGTGTGGCCTTCCAGCGGGAGGTGAAGGATGTGGCAGAGTTCCTGTACCAGGTCCTGGTCGATAGCACCGTGCTCAAAAATGCACCCGCGCTGCTGATCGCTTGCAATAAGCAAGGTATTGTGTGCTGCTGTGCAGGCTGAGAGACAGGGACTCAGGCCATGAATGCTGAATTTCTTAGGAGTTGGGATTTCAGCGAAGTGAAGTCTGGAACTTAAAGTTTTAAACTTAGACTATGCAGCAGGAACATTTCTAGCAGGCATTGGAAGAACTCTTAGGTCAGGTATATCTACTCCCTTTGCAGAGAAGCACCGCTCGGGAGAGCTACGACTTTTTAGATGGGCTTAAGTAAGGCAGGAGGCTTTCTGCTTGGGCAGAACTGTCTTCCTGCATCTGCAGGCAGCAGAAAATAGGATCAACTTGAGCGTAATGAACTATCTGTACACGTTTGGGAGCTTCAGTGTTAAAACTGCCAAGATTATATGTATTCTCTTGATTGGATGAGTAGGAACATCTAGTTACTGGAAGCGACTAGATTTTCAGATCCCTACAACTTTTACAGTGAAGATACGAATCCCTGTATAACAATCTGAAGATTTTGGGCAGTATCAGATCTTGTTTTCTTAGTTATTTCATGCACTACTTCAGGATCTACCTGAGGCTTTCATGGCCATGGTTGAAAAGCGTTGTGTTGAGCTCTGCAAGTCCAGGACAGGTGAGAGTGCTGGGCCTTGTGGGTGGGACATCAAACCCCATGCTCTGTTTGAAGCAACTTATTGCCCAGCAAGAAGAAATTCCCTACATTATATCAGACTTTGGGTTGCTCCCATTCATGTCTACAAACCCAAAGCTCCAGCGTCCCTTATCCGAGCGCAGGCACAGCTGTCCTTGTCCCAGTAACTCTTATGAGTGCACAGTATGAGCAAGCCTTACTGTACCTTTAGGAGGAGGAACCAGGCTCATAATTCTGACATAAAATTACAGAGCTGATTTCCTTTTCTTTTCTCTCTCTCTAGATGTCACAATGGCAAAATCAGCAAAACTTATTCAGCAGCAACTGGAAAAAGAGCTGTAAGTATGAAATCGGGTCTTAAACTCTCTGAGCTTCTCTCTTTTCCTTTCTGTCTCTTCCCTCAGTGCTCAGTGAGCTCCCTTGAGGCACATCTGGGTTCATCACAGGGAAAGAGCAGTCTGTTTTGTCTGCGTAGGTGTAACCAGGATGAGAGAAGATTGCTTCTTGCTAAAGCACACAAAAAAGCAGTAGGCACAGACAGTGTATTCCCTCCTGGAAGCTGTGGGTTGGAGAAACAGCATCCCAGTCCTTTCCTAAAAGCTGCCATCCTTAGGCTGAGTGATACCTCCCACAGTGCTGTCCTCTCTCAGGTGCAGGTAGGGTTGGCTTCCCCATGTCAGACTTTCTGTGAGTGGTGTGAAGATCTCAGTAGCTCTGCTCTGTTGTAAGGGCACGGGGTTTTTTTGCAGGGCTGTTTGGATGCAAAAGAGCTTGGCATGCAAAGCTTGAGAGCTGGGGAGAGAGCAGCTTCTAGTTTTCCCAGTCTGCTAACAGGCATTGCAGGAGCCTGTTTGGGTCCCCGGGTTGGCTCTGTATCCCTCCTAGGAAGAGCAGTAACCTGGGAAGACAAATGGTGGATGATCTGTTGCTAATTTTAAGTTGTAAGAGGATGTGGAGGGAGGAGAAAGTGGCTTGTAGACTGTGTAAGCTGCCAGCTGAATGAGCTGCAGTGTCAACGGCTGGCAAGTCCATCTGGGGAGGGGGCAATTAGAAGATGATTTTTTTTTTCTAAGCTGCATTTAATCTGTGCGTGAAGATTCTGCCTGTGAGTCCCATAATTGTAGTTGAGTCAAAGCTGCTCTGGGAGAGACCTCTGCAGCTCTTGTGCCGTGGTGGACTTCTCCACCAGCATCTAGCAGAGATTTTCCTTCCACTGCACACTCAGAACTGGGTATTTTGCCTTCCTGCTGCCTGTGGGTCCCGTTTACTGGTTTCCAGTTGGCGGAAAAGTGGTCTTGGGGGTAGGGGTAGGATTGTAGCTCTTTGTCCTCCAAACGAATGCGTGTTGGCGTGGTATGGCCATCTGGTTGCCAAGCGATGGACTCAACAGCATTGGGTTTATGGTTGGACTCGATGGTCTTCAGGCTCTTTTTCAACCTGAACGTTCTCTGGTTCTATAATCTGTGGCCAGTAGACGGCAGCAGGGTTATTTGTGCTGGTGTCTCCTCCAGGCTGAGTACCTGACCTTCCCCTTTTTAAGGGGGGAATTATTTGCCGCAAATAATTTGAGCCCTTCAGGAAAAAAAAAAAAAAAGCATTCCTTGGTTCTGATGTAGGACATTTGCCAGTTACCTGTGTGTAGAAGCTGGATTTCTAAATAGGTTATACATGCCCTGTTAGGCAGTATTTTTGCTGCCCTTCTCCTCCCGGCGCTGAGGTACTTGGATGCCTTTGTGTGGAGAACCCAAGAAAGTGTCTGCTCTCTTATTCTTGAACTCACACCTCTGGGCAGCGTTGTTCTTTCCCAGTGCCCAATTAATTTAGCTGCATTCTGTGACTAAGGAGTAGCTGGGGTTGACTGAGAGCAGGCACCACCAGGCTGCTCTGTCTCTGGAAGAGGGGCAGCACCGTCCATGAGGCTCTACTTGGCAGTTGAAGAGATTGCTCTTTGCATCTGTGCCTGGTGCAGCCCTTTGACTTCCCGAATCTCAAAAGCCTTGCTTTTTGGGATCTCTAAGGCAGTCAAATCGCAGTGCCTCTGCGTCTGTTGGGCTGTTCCATCTCCCTGTGCTGCCTCTGCCTTAGATGCCTGGTAAATGTGGACAACGAGGTCCATCCTTCCTCTCCACACGTGGCAGGGAGTTGAGGTGCTGAAGGCCAGGAGCGGTGGTGACATTGCAGCCTGGTCAGTGGGCAAGCGTTGGTCACGGGAGTGGTGGGGAGACTTGATCCCCCTCTCAATCCCCAAAGGTATTTGGCACATTCAAGTGGAAGTGGAGTGATCCCCTGAGTGATCCCCGATATCCCGGGTGCCTCTCTCTTCCCAGTTAACCTGTTAAACTAAGCGCAGATACTGAGCTCTGGGGAGTAAATCACATGTAATTCCTGGTGACTGCCATGGGGATATTGGGGAAATTCAGATGAGAACATCATCACCTGACTCGCTTGTTACAAAACAAAACCTGTTTAAGCACGCTCTCGTTGTGTGCCCTTCTGTCTGTCTTGCTCTTTTGAGCCTCTCTGCTGTTGTCCCTTCCAGTGGGAATGTAGGAAAAGTGGGAAAGTGTCTGCCCCTGCCTCTGTAGACCCATGAGACCTTCTATCTTTGGTATAACTGGTATCCTGCTGACAGAGCTGGGTCCAAAACATCTCAGCAGCTGTGGTGTAGGTAAGCAGGTTCCCCTGGTTCCCAGGTCTTGACCCTCTCCCTTCTCTGTTTGCAGCAATACCTTGCGAGTGACCCGCTCTGCAGCTCCCACCAGCCTGGATGGCTCAGCCACTGGGGGCCCTGCCCAGCTGGGGAAGAAGGGCAAGGACTTCGACTTCTCCCAGCTGCCCATGAAGGTGGAATTCGTGGAGTGCAGTGCTCGGGGCAGCAAAGGAGAGGAGGGAGATGCTGACTGCGAGGGCCTCGAGAAATGGCTGGCCAAGATCGCCTGAATGGAGAAGGACAGGGCTGGAGGGAGAGACCTGGGGAGGCTGGGGGGGCAGGACACCTGGGAACTGAAAGGAAGAAGATGGTCTGAAACACTCAAACCTCATCTTGCTGTAAAAAGAAGAAACTTAAGCTGGAGACCAGCATTGTGTTATATTCCTCTGCTGCTCCTGGGCTTGGGAGCAACATGACACAATTGCTGGTGTGATTTTCCTCTGACTGTCCCTATCACGCTCCAACATTTTTTTTCCTCTCCCCTCTTCCTTTGTCTTCCCCTGGGATGCTGACTTTCTGGGCTTCTCTGCTTCCTTAATCTTTAGGCTTTTCATTTGGTAACTGGCAGCCACATTAGGAAGGAGTGAACTGCCAGGTGACTTTTAGAGACTGGAGTCTGCGTGTTGTCTTCTGCCTGGGTTTAGCATTGCAAGTCTGTTACCTCTCGGAGCTGCTGATAACCTCCTGATTTGGGACACATTTCTTTCCCCAACCTCTCGCTGCTTGGGAGCTCTGTGTGCATTGTCTCTGCTGCTCCAGCAGAGCTCACAGACTCTCTCTGTTTGGCAATCATTGAGGAGAGTATAAAAAGCTGTTTTCTTCTGTGTCTTCTCCCTTCCTGTTCTACCCACCCGGTGCAGTCCCATTTCTGTGGGACACTGCTTGTCTCTTTTGCTGTGTCTTTGGGTGATTCCTGCTGTTGACAGTTCTTGGGAGCTTTTCTTTAACCTAGGGCTACGTCCTGAAAGCTTATTTCACTCCTCCCTCCCAAACTTCAGGCTCTTCTCCCACAGACATCTATGCACACTCTCCAAGTAGCAGAGTTACAGTAAGGCCTTAGCTTGAAAGGACGAGGCAGGCATGTTTTTAGATGTGTACCTACATTACGTGTGAGATCTGGTGTGATCATTTGCTCTGCCTGCCTGCCTCCTGCTCCAGTGACTGCTGTAAGCTCTTCTTGTGTGTGCAATTAGCCAGCAGTGGTGGCAAAGTGAGAGGGAAAGTCAAGTCAAGGAGCTGCTGGGGATCACAGTGGATTCTTCCTCCTGAGGAAGATGCTCAATGAGGAGGAAGGAGATGAGACCCTGGTGCGATGCTGGGTGTTCAGCTTCCCCTTCCTGAGCAGCCTTAAAACACCTTTGCCCTGCCCAGCAGCTTCGTGTGGCTTTGTGCTCTGGTGGGCTGCCATTTCTGTGCAGCACCTGCGTGAGGGTGATTGCTCTCCAGGATGCCACACTGCAAATTGTGACATCCTATGACAGTGACAATTTTCTTTCTGTTTCCCCTTATATCTTGAGGTAGGAGGGAGTGGCTGGCTCCTGGTAGACCTTTTCTGTCCTTTTCAGGCTCATCTCCTCTCTGGTTTGATGTTTCCTTCATCACTCACCTGATCTGTTGTGTTCTTTCCCTGGGTCATCCTCTGCCTCGCTGTAGCATTGCCAAGTGTTAGTAGTGTTGGGAAGAGCAACAGCAGTCTTTAGTGAAGACTGTGCTCCTAATGAAGCTGGGCCTTGCATTTCTAGTCTTGTGAACCCCATGGCTCTTCTGCTGTCCGTGCAGGAGGTGGGGAGGGTTATATTTGCCAAGTATGTTATATTCTTGCATTTCCTGCAGCCAGAGTACTGTTGGTACATGTTTGTCATGCTTTGAACTCCTTTAGCTGGAGCGCCTTCCTGCTTTGAATCTGTAATGAGGGAGAAGTTGCTGTTTCTTTGGCTGGTTATTCTGCTTGCAAAGACCTGTCTCCTTGGAAAGCAGAGGCCAAGCACCAGCCTCTCCTGGGCTAAGGAGGGGAGGTAGCATGAGGCCGTGGTTAGGTTTAAGTTATTCTTATTAAAAGTATCCCTTCATAGAATTTTTTTTTGCTTATATGTGTGTTCTTAAGCCTTGCTTTTGTCTGTATGTGCCTTGACTCCACGTGGACTGGAGCTTTGCTTCTGCTCAACACCATGTTGGATGGAGATCAGCCTTCCTGCTTGGTGGCCAGGTCTGTCAAAAACCAATGGCTCCTCCACACACAGGGCTTTTGGGATTTGTTTCGGGGTGTGTATTTACTCCTTAGTCTGAATGTTAGAGACTGGATAATCATGAAGAAAACAAAACAAAACCAATCAAAAACCTTAACAGAAAAGGCAATTTGCTCAAATGCACAAGAAAACTCAAGGCAGTGGGGCTGCACCCTCTGCCACTGGTGCCCCAGGATGGAGTGAGTGTTGGGCTGTTGCAGAGCTGCTTGTGTTCTTTGGACCACGCTCCACGACTTGCCTGTTAAATATTTGGGGCTGTTTTTTTTTTCCCAGTGGCTGAAGGAAGAGGGCTTTGTTTTTGGCTCTTGGGTACAGACCTTGCTCCCAGGCTGTGGGCAGGTTGGGCAGGTTGCTCCTCCGGCTGCGGCCTGGCAGCCAGTGTGTTTGGCGAAAGAGCAGGATGTGATAAACTCACCTAAAGTGACCTTCTGCTCCTCCAGCTGCCTGACCCAGAGCCATTCCCCCCCACTATATTTACACATCTGCAGGGATTGAGGCCTTCACTGTACTTTAAAGCTCTTCTGATGGATGCTTCTCACTATGGGTCGTGCTTTGTCTGCACATTGTTCCCCTTCTGGAGGAGATCGACAAGCACAGTGAGATCCAGGATAGCAGAAACCACATGAAAATGGAGGACGGGTTGCTGAAAGGCAGAGAAAAGCAAAAATAGCATGATGCCTGATCATTGGCATCCCAGCGGTGGTGGTTTCCAAGGCTCCCAAAACCAGATGTTGCACCTCCTGTGCATAGAGTCATTGGCCAGGCCATCTTGGCACCTTTGGGCCCAGGAAGCTTCCATGTGGCCCCATGTGGGTCACCTTATACGCTTTCTGGCCAACACCTCCTGGAGTTTATCCAGCTTGATGTTACCCCTGATGGGATGGTGGTGGCGAAGGGGGAAGGTTAAGGGAACACCTGTCAGGTGGAGGGGGTATGGGAACAGGAATAGCAAGGACAGACCTCATTAACATAAAGATTTGCTGATCCAGAGCAAACCTAAGGCATCCTCTCCTTTCCCTTTATTCTGGGTGAGCATCGATGCACAGAGAGAAGCCCATTTCTTGCTCTGTGCAGTGATGGGGTAAATGCTTTTACCCAAGAAAAGTCTTCTCCCTTGCTGTCCCATCCCACCCAGGTCATCTCTCAGTCTGTGACGCTGCCCAGGAGGGGATACAGCCACAATGAGAATGAGGAGGAAGGTGTGGTGACCCTGACTGGCCCATGCTCCTTGCCCATGGGCCCAGGAACCCTGTCTCAGCTCAGCCCTGTCCCTCCAGTCCCTACCTGAGCTCTGCTGTAGCCATCTCCAGCTCAGCCATGGCCGTGTCTGTGCCTGGCCATGGACCCTGCTGATCCTGACCCCGCTGACTGTCCCCCTGTGCTCGCTCAGCCCTGTGGATGGTACTGCAGATCCCAACCAGCAGCATCTTGCCATGGTCCTTTGTGGGTGGCACATTCAGCAGCCACCCCTCCACTCAACCGCCACAGAAAAGACGAGACCTTCTCAGATCTAGTGCTCGTGGCTTCACCTTTTAGCATCACTGGTGAGATGAATGGTGTGTCCTTTGCAGGACACCAAGGCTCTTGACAAACTCATGAAGCAATTCCTGTGATAGGAGTCAAGCGGTGCTCCCATGTCACCCCCTGCAGGTGACAGCAGGCTCTCATCATCACCAGGTGCCTCCTGACATCCCACCAGCCAACGTTTCTCTTCCCATTCTGGGGGGCTGCCTTCATCCTGCCAGGAACAGGGAGGTCCTGGCTGGTGCTGGAGGGCAGGAGGAGCGACGCTAGAGCAGATCAGGGAGGCCCTGGAGCTGCTGCGCTCCCTTTGAGACATGCCATGGGCAGGGGACCATCCTGACAGCCCCTGCCTGTGTCCCTGTGCCCAAACCCACTGTCACCCTCCCCACAGCCCCCTGCCATCAGCCCCCCGGCTGTGCCTGCACTTCCTCTGCCTGCAACACATGAACCTGTTCTCCAGGCTCCTGCCCTGTGACCTTTCCTGCTGCCCATGGACCCTGCCTGTGCAAACCCATGCCTGAAGCTTGCAGAGCCCTCACAGACCCTACCTGCAGCCTCTGCAGCCCTGTCTCCAGCCCCCAACCCCATGCGTCTTGCCCAGTGCCTACCGCTGCCTGCAGCCCGGTTCCTGCAGCCCCAAGCCCAAAGCTGCCTACCTGCAGCCCCCTGCCCACCGCCTGCAGCCCCAAACACTCTGCCCGCAGCCTTCTTCCTACAGCCCCCTGCCCCACAACCTTCTTCCTACAGCCCCCTGCCCCACAACCTTCTTCCTACAGCCTCCTGCCCCACAACTGCCTGCTTCTCCGTGCTAGTGCTCCTGCCTGCAGCCCTCTGTACCCTGCCTGCATCCCCAGGACCAAAGCCCCCTCTGCCCTCCCCGCAGCCCCCTGCCATTGGCCCAACGTGTGTAGCACCCTGCCTGCACCCCACCAGCAGGTTCCTGCAGGTTCCTGCCCACAGACCCTTCCTGCAGCCCCCTTCCCACCGACCCTCGCCTCCAGCCCATTCCGCCCTGCCTGCAGCCCCTGCCCCAGCTGCCCACACCCTGCCTGCACCTCCATGCCCAAGCCCTGTGCCCACAGCCCCATAACTGCAGCCCCCCTGCCTGCAGCCCCCGAATGCTGCCTGCAGCCCTCTGCCTGCATCCCCACGCCAAAAGCTCCCGTCCCCCACCCCTCCCCAGCATCATCCTGGTGAGAGCTCCATTCTCAGCTCCTCTGTCCACAGACATGTGCCCACAGCCCCCTGCACCCACCCTGCAGCTCCGTGCTGCTTCGCTGACCTGCCCAGGCACCTTTGGGCAGGATGGTGTGGGCAGGGTGCAGGTGTCACGGGGGCTGCAGGTGGGCACGGCTGGCAGCCCCTCATCACAGGGGAGGAGCACATGTCCTGTCTGCCACTGTTTCTTCTCCTTTGCCAGCCAGGGATGATCCGAGGTCAGCCTGCATCTGCTGGGATGCAACCTGCAGGCATCCCCACCACCTTGCTGATGGGGCAGCTCTCGGGGGTGGGGCGTGGGTGGGCAAAGCACCACAATTGGAAAAGTGACCTTTATTTAAAAAATAAAAAGAGCAACAAACCCCCAAATGTTCTGCAATAAACCCCTAGTGATAACTTCTCACAACACGTGTGCAGCGTCCATGCTGACCTCTGCGAGGGGTGCAGGCAGGGGGACACACGGGGCAGCCCCACAGGGTTGGCAGCCATCCCCGCTGCTCCTGTCCCAGCTGGGAGGGCATTACCCGGCTTGAAATGTCTCACCAGAGTAGGGACCATCACCTACAGCAGGCACTTTTCTGGGTATATTGGATGGGGCTGCGCTCCAGCTCCCATCTGCCTCCTGGTCCAGGTGGTGGGAGGGTTGCCCCCTCCCCAAAGTGATGGCCAAGTGCAGCTGGAGAACCTGGGAGGAGCCAGTACCAGGATGGGACTGGCATGGAACATCCCTCGCTGCGAGCACGGTGGTTCTGTGGGCTGCAGGAGAGGAGCTCGGAGCTGCTAAGGTGAAGTCGCTCCCTTAGAAGGAAAAACAAACCCAAAAAAGACAAAGTACTGGCAGTGGGTAATGGGGGGTGCGGAGTCAGTCCTCAGGTGGGCTACACCAGCCCCGCTGCCTTCTCCTGCACGTTGTACTCCTTGCTCCTCTTCACCTTCCAGCTGATGAGGGCGAGGAGGATGGTGCCCACCACCTTGTAGCCCACCTGCAGCCCCAGGTATCTGTTGGGAGAAGAGCAGAGAGATGCCATGTCTGCAGGTGTCACCTCCAGCCAGCACCAGGCTGAGCTGGGGACAAGCTCCGTGGTCATCCCCACCGGGGAGGACACAGGGACAGATGGTGGGGTACCTGTTGCGGAGGAAATCGTTGTTGTAGTAGGCGCAGAACCGTCGCTGGGTGCACTGCTTCTGCCAGTAGATGCAGGAGGAGTCGATGAGGGCACCAAACATGGCTGGGGCTGGCAGCCAGGCTTTGGAGAAGAGAGGATGGAGTCAGGTTGCCTGCCTTTCCCCGCTGCATGCTTTGCCTGCTGTCCCCAAAGAGGTTCAACACCTCCTGGGGCTCAAGCAAGCCTCTGAGCCTTCCCTTGCCTCATTAGGAGATGGACACTCACCCAGCAGCCTCATTAGTAAGAACTGGACTCCGATGGCAAATGACTTCTCATCCTGGTTCACCACCCTGCAGGGGAGAAGCCATGGGAGGTCAGAGTTGTATTTGGCCAAGCATCTTGGCCTGGCTGCACATTGAAGAGGCCCCACTGATCCCAGCATGGAGAACCATCACATCACACCTCCCCCAGTGCCTTGCAACACCCCCTGCCCATTGCTCACCGTAAAACCATCATGTAGAGGGGGTTGTGGGACAGGCAGGCTACCAGGGCAGCAAAGGAGATGAGGAATATAGCAGGAAGGAGCATGTGGGAGCAGCTGAGTGGACAGGAGCCTGTCTTGGCGGAGGACACCCCATTCCCGACAGAGATCAGGGAACAGTTCTTGTAGATCTGTTGGAAATGTTTGGAAGAAACCAAATGTAAAACTCTGAAAGCCAAGAGCAGGGTCTTTATTGATGCACCAGTCCACGTCGCTTTGCAGAAGACTGGTGAGAGCGTCAGGTCCAATTCAGAGGCACAGCCATGGCATCCTGCAATGGGATGTGCTGCCGTCCCCATTTCTCCACCAGACTCCCAGGGTGTTACAGCAATTCTCCGTTACACCATAGGACTTCAGCATCTCTGGTAGACCTTCCCGCTCACGGCATCAAAAAGGCTTTACCGCGCTATTGCACTGGTCAAGTTCCTCCAGCATCGCTGA